TCTGCCCTGTGCCCCAGCTCTGCCCAGTGCCCAGTTCCTCTGTCCCTTTTACCTAAGTTTCCCCCTTTGTAAAATGTGACTAAATAACAAAAGTCTTTTCCAAGATTTTAAAAAACCAGAATATCATAATAATGCGCAGTTCTGAGATCTCGGCACCTAAGCAAGCTTATACAACGAGCTTCTGAGGAGCAGTGTGTAGTAGGAGCCACAGCCGGGTGGGGGACCCAGAGGGTCCATGGGTACTCTGGGCTCCAGGCCTGCGTGGGGTCGAGCCTGTGTCTTGCTGCTGCCTCAGTCCCAGGCTCCAGGGCTGGCTGGGGAGGCTGGAATCCCAAGAGTCACATGGGGGCATTGTCTGAAGATGGTTTCACTATCTTGCTTGTTTGGCAAGGATTTGAAACCAAGTCCTTCTCCCCTGGGCATCCGGAAGTCCTGCCTAGCTCTGCATGTGGCCCCAGGGTTCATGGATGTGCTTCCCTCCTGCTGGATGGGAAGTCCCCAGGCTCCCTGCTGTTTTGAAGCCCTGTGGTGTCCTCCTCAGCACCTCCCCTTCTGGGGTCCATCAGGCTCCAGGAGCTCTGGGATGGAACTAACCTGACCTGGGGCTGATCTTTCCTTCACTGTCCACTCTGGACCGCAGACCCTGCGTGCCCACTGCACGTGTAGAAGGGTCCCTGGCCACATGCATGTCCACTGCCATCTCAGGCCAAATCCTTTGCTCTTCTGTGTCCTTCAGCCTGTACATGGGACCCAAGAGCCTCTCTAATTAGATTTAATGTGAAAGGTGGGAAGGGCATCTCCATCCCAGGACAGGTGACTCAGAATGCTTAAAAAATCCTTTAGATTACAGCTATGGGCTGGGGAGATAGCTCAGAGGCATAAGCAACTCAAGGTCCCAGGTTCGATCCCAGCCTCCCATGTGGTGCCTGCCCACCCTGGAACTGGCCGTGGTGGTGCACACCTGTGATCCCAGCACTTGGGCGGTTGACACAGGAGAATGGCTTCGAGTTCGAGACAAGGCTGGGGGCTACAAAAAGCGAGCACAAAGCCAGCCTGAACTGCATAGTGAGACCCTGAAAAAAAATTATCTTGGCTGTTTCCCTCAAATCCAGTCATTTTCTAACCACATGGAATTGAGTTCTCTGGCAGGTTTTAGGCGCTTGCTTCCAAGATCCACAGGATGAGTCTGCTTCTCAGCTGCTTTGATATCCAATCGCATCAAAAGGGAAGGCTTTGGTCCAAACTTAACGTCCCATTACATAAGCATTTCAAGCCATAAATACCAGCCTCTAAAAACTTCTTTCTCTGGCTCAATAGCCTCCTCTTAAGCGGACACAACTGTAATGACTTTAGTCCTCTGAAGCTGGTGAGATCCACTCTGGAACAGCCCGTGGCAGCTTTGTGTGTGAGGTGGCCTGTCAGGTACAGGGCCTGGTGTTAGGCAAAAACAGCCTTATGAATTACATCTCTGTAGATCCTGCCATTCCTTATTAATCTTCTCTCCTGAACTATTAATTACTGAAAGACGGATCTTTAAATTCTCTGCTATCGCGGCAGATTTGTTGATTTCATTTCTGATGATCTTGCCTTATCTATTTTGAGATTTTTTCAATGCAGCAAATTTAGAATTATTGCAGCACCTTTAGTTAATCACACCCATTTTTAATGTCTCCCAGTGTCTTTGCTTTGCAGTCTATTTTGTCTGCTATAGATATTGCTAGATCAGACTGCTTTTTGTTAGTATTTGCTTGTTCCATCTTTTTCTGGCCTTCTACATTTATCTTCTCTTTGTATCTTAAAATTTTGCATCTTATCAGTAGGCTTTAAATAATTTTAACCTGGAAAACATTTGACACAGCCTGATATTCTGTTGTGAAGCAGTAGGCTTAGTCCATTTATAGTTATTTGAATTATTGACATATTTGGATTTATTTCCATGACTTCGGTTTGTGTTTTCTGTGTGTGCTTTTTCTATCCTTTTTTCTCCTTTCTTGGATTTGTTTGAGCTTTTTCATTTTTTCTTTTTTGAGTTTGAGACAAGCCTGGAGGCTACAAAAAGTGAGCCCCCATTTTTTAAAAAAAATGTATTTAGTATATGGTCTGCAGGGTCTACAGGGTCTCACTACGTAGCTCCAACTTGTAGTGATCCTCCTGTTTTCAGCCTCCCAAGCGCTGGGATCACAGGCGAGCACCACCATGCCCAGATTTTCCTACTCATTTAGTAGCTCCCTCGAACATTTCAATGTGTAGAGTCAACAAATTCTGAAGTAGTCATGTTTTTCTAAATAGTTTAAGGACATGGAGGGCTTTCTCTTTAATTTCTCCATCTCTCCTCAGCCTGTCTGTAGGCTGCTATTTTACAGAGTTGTCCACATAAACAAAGTAGTTTAAGTTTAGCCTGGGGCCACAGGACCTGAGTCAGAGTTCTGGAGCTGTGTGGTTTGGGACAAGTGACTTGACCTCTCTGGGCTTTAGTGATTTCACCAGTAAAGTGGGGGTCATACTGTAGTTGCTTCTTAAACTGCCTGAGAAGATTTAATGCCTAAGCTCATGGGAAGCTCCTAGGATGGTTTGTGTACATGGTAAACCTTCAAAAATGGCTAGAGGGCTGTGGTGTGGCTCAGTGACTGTGTCCACCAAGCATGAGCAGGGCACTGGGATCCGTCCCCAGAACTGGAGAAAAAGTTAAATGTCATTGTCATTATTTCATCTCCTATTAGACATTGGCTCTGTTGTTCTGATTAACACACGGCCAACTTTACTGCTTCCCTTTCGCATCACAGGCCTTTCTTCTAAGGCCGTTGCTTTTCTTCCTGAAGTGTGTTGTTCATAAGCGTGCTGTGGTAAGGTTCTGTTTTACACCAGTTTTACGCCAGCTTTAGGTCAGCTTTTTGGTCAGTCCTACAAGAGGATTGTAAGCTGGACATAGTGGCACATCCCTGTCATCCTGGCACTCAGGAGGCTGAGGCAGGAGAATGACTGTGAGGTTGAGGCCAGCCTGGGCTACATAGTAAGACCCTGCCTCAAAAAAAAAAAAAAAAAAAATTGTATTATAGACAGATCTACAATGATGATTATTTCCGGTTAGAACTTCGATATTGACCCACCTTTTTACTTTGATGGTGAAGCAAATCAATTATTATTCTTTATAAATGAACTGACTTTTATTTCTCTCTTTTTAAAAATGGTCCTGGGGGCTGGGGAGATAGCTCAGCGGTCTAAGAGCCTGCCTGGTGAATGCAAGGAGCTGGCTTCAATGCCTGGTACTGATACAGGGAGAAAAACTGGTCTCGGTGGGTGACCTCCAAATGATACAGGGAACCTCCAAATGACGTAGGGAAAAACGATCTCCCGACCTGACCTGCATGAGTTCATGTTCTCTAAAGCCGAAGAATGAATTTTAGGAACAAATGGAGGTTATGAGCAGAATATATTTATTGAGAGAAAGAAAGCTCCTGTCAGAGAGAGGGGCAGGAGGAGGCCCAATTGGGTAGTTCCCCGGGAAGCTGTCTCTTTCAGGGACTTTTATAGTGTAAAACCATGTGGGGCTAAGGTGGAGAGAATGGGAACTCGCTAAGGTGGGCAAGAGATGGGACAAAACTATGGTCAACCAATGGGATTACAAGCCCCATTTCTCAGGTAAAATTGATTAGGCCCAGGACCAAATGGGGTAGCGAGTCACCTAGTAAGTGGGCATGAATGTAAAACAGGACCTTATCTGATGACCTTCAAACAATAATTCTTCCTAAGTAATGATCAATCCTGGATGCCAGTCTTCAGGTTTGGTTCACAGCAGGGGCATCCATCCCTCCCACGGCTGTAAGGCGCCTGGCTGTTGTTATTTCCTCTGAGGGTCTGACCCTGTCTGACTGCCTACAATATTCTATCTAACTCAGGCTGCCTGCAACATGCTGTGTTGGCCCAGGAGCCATGCTGACCACCGAGACTGGCCGTGGTGGGCGCATTCCCATAATCCCAGCACTGGGGAGACTGAGACAGGAGGATCACTACGAGACCAAGCTGTATAGCTAGACACTGTACCAAATAAATAAATTTTTTAAAAAATGGTGCTGGGCTTGAACCCAGGGATTTACCTGTGTTTGACAAGTGCTCTTCCGCTGAGCTATATTCCCCAGCTGCTCCTACCCTTTTGAGATTTTATTTTGGAGACAGGACCTTAAGCTTGCTGGTCTTGGACTTGCTGGTGGTCCTCCTGCCTCAGTCTCCCAGACGGGTAGCTCGGACTATAGGTGTGTGCGACCTTGCCTGTCTCTGTGCTGCTAAGAGCGCCTTGTCTCTGCTGTCCTAAAGTGCACCCAGATGTGTCTAGCCCAGGAGGTCCTGCCCTTGGGTGTGGCTCAGGATGGCTTGCTCACGCTTGGGCTCTGGCTTCAGTCCCAGCATTGCAGCCCTCAGCCCCTGTGCTGGATCATTTCGATCCTTGTTATCCTTTGGGATCTGGGCCTCTCTCTGATGTTTCTGATGGCTCTTCATTACAGTAACTTATTTCCTGGTTTGTGCTTTGATCCAGGGCATTGAGATAAATTTCCTGAAGATACAGGCATTAGGGGCTGGAGAGATAGCTCAGTAGAATAAGTGCTTGCTTGGCAAGCTCAAGGTCCTGAGTTCAATCCCCAGTTAAAAAAAAAAAAAAAAAAAAGATGCAGGCATTAGTTGTCGCACCCAGATGCTCAGATCAATGATTGAATGACTGAACATTGATCTGTCATTCAATCTTTGAGGCATTGGGAGGAAATCTTACTCCTCTGGATGAAGAAAGAGAAGTTCAGAAAGGTTGAAAACTTATCAGAGGCCGTGTTACTCTTAAATCCAGAGCTGGGGTTTGAATTCAGACCTACTGTACCCTGGGAACCTCCATTGCCCCTTCCCTGTCCTGCCCTCCATCTACAGAGGCAATTAGTGCCTGTTGTAAGCAAGCCATAGAGCACCCCACCTCCACTGACTTGGGACTCTGGGGGTTTCTTCATGGTGTCCCACAGGGTCGCCGCACGAGACCAAGAGCCTCATGAAAGCTTCCTACACGCCTGAGGTGCTGGAGAAATCGGTGCGAGACTTGGAACACTGGCATGGCAGGAAGACAGACGACCTGGGTAGGTGGGACTGCGGGTGACGGGAGGTGCATCTGCTCCCTCCTGGGTGCAGCGTGGTGGCTCTGAGGCCCAGACGGAGCCAGAAGTGGAGTGGGAATCCTGGGAGGACTTGGAGAGCTGCGGTCACCGCCGGCCTGGGCCCTGCTGAGGCTGCTGGGCGATCGGCGCTGGTCCTCTTCCACCCTCTGTAGGACGGTGGCACCAGAAAAATGCCATGAACATGAATTTGCAGAAAGCGCTGGAGGAGAAATACGGAGAAAAGAGCAAATCCAAGTACTAGACACAGTGCGGAAGAGGCACCTGCTCCTCAAAGAAAGTGTAATAATAAAGAAAGAAAGCACACATCGGAGTCTTGCTCCTTTGCTTGATGTGTGCTTCATGATGCAGTGGGGACCAGGGAGGGCAGGGTGCTGGCGAGTGCATAGCCCCGCGGACCCTAACTGCCTACTAGACTTCCCTTCCTCTTCCCTTGTGATCAGGAGAACATGTACAGAGCCATCCTGTCCCAGTGTACCTAGTAAAAAAATATCATTCTCCTCCTTGGCCTAGGAAGATGTGTCCCCTACATTGCTGGACTGTACCCTGCCATGTTGTCCCACTTCCCCATTAGATTTAGAGGAACTGATTGCACACATTCCTTGAAATCAGTGGGTGAGTTTGACTGGTTGATGGAAATTCTCCTCCCCACTTGTCCCTCACACATATGATTGGTTCAGCACTGGGCATATGACTCAGCATAGGCCAATGGGATGCAAGGAAAGGTGTGTGGTGCTTTCTGGGAAATTCTTTTCTCTGCTGGGGATACTGAGGGAGTATCTCTTGCTCCTGAGGTCTTGAACAAGCAGTTTCATAGCCATGCGTACTGTCCGTTGCTGAAGCCATAGGACCAGAGGACCTACAGACAATGCCACATGAGCCCACCGGGCTGTACCGTGAACTTTGCAGAAACTGTCCACTTCTTGGCATCCTGTACTGTGAGCCTGGGCATCTCCTTGTTTAGTTAATAATGATCCCTAGTGTCAGCAGGGGAGGACTTGGGACTGGAACCCCAGGGAAGAATCCTCAAGAGAACGGGCTTCAGGACAGCTGTGCTTTCCAGTTGATCCTGGAGCTTTTCACCTGGTGGGCCTCTATGCCAGCAGCACCCCCACCCTCAGCTCACTGACTTGTCCCCTCCACACCTACTTTAGTCATGGGCATGTTTTATTTTGTTGTGTTCCCAACCTCATCCAGAACCAGTGGCTTAAAAATTTGCTCCCAATCATGCAAATGAGAAGGGCTCTGCTGGCCTGGCTCATTTCTGCTTGCTGTGTCATCTGTGCCATGCATTCTGGTGCCTCAGCTCGTGTGGGTCCTACAGCTTGGGTGGAATCCTTCCAGATGGCGTGGGTACCACAGCTGGGATGGACACCTTGCAGCTAGGATGGCACTCAGGTAGGGCTGCCTGGGAAGCACTCTTTCCCCAATGCTGGCTTGGGTGTCTTCATTGTGTGATGACTGGGTTCTAACGAGGGACATTTCAAAGTGACAAGATTGAGTGTGCAAAGATTTTATCAAGCCTTACTTTCAATTGTCAGCGTTCCCGTAGCCAAAGGGCCCTACGGTCAGACCCAGGGAGAGACCTCACAGGGATTTTGCCACAGGCAGAAGGGGCTCACTGAAGACCACCTAAAGAGTCTGTCATGGTTGTTATCTTGCTCTGGAAAAATCAGAGCAACATGGAAGAATCAAAAATTACTGTTAAGAGAAGGGAAGCTGTGTTCCCACATTTCTCCCCAGTATCCTCCTCCCATAAAAGGGAGTGGCTTCCAGATGGGTTTGGACCAGGATCCAATGAAGAGAAGAAAATCTGACTAGGTAGCTACTGAGCATCTTAAGTGTGTGACAGCTCAAGCTTCCTGGTCCAGCCCGCCACCTTTTAGAGGTACCTATTTTCTTTTCTTTTTTATATTTAGTACAGGGTCTATAAGGTCTCACTACACAGATTGGACTCATAATGATTCTCTTGTTTTCAACCTCTCAAGCACTGGTATTACTGGTGCACGTCACCACACTCAGTCTCAAACGCCATCTCAGCTCACCCCCGGGGTCAGGACCGGGGTTGGCACAGCACACCTGGGGTCAAAACCTGGTCCCTGCGTCTGCCTAAGCAGGTGCTTTAATCCACTGAGCTATCTGGCTGGCCCTGAGGTACCTATTTTCTGCCAGAAACTATTCTTGGTGCCAGAAAACAGAACTTCACCTTTTCAGCAGGTACTTGTCTCACGTACATTGCAGGACACATGACTCCCCTGACACTTAGCCCTGCACGCTGTGTTCTGTTGGGACACAGAAATGCTCTGATGTTCTGCACACACAGCTGTGTTTCGTATCAACGTCATCCTTGTAAAGCTGTTAGCCCCTTTACAAAGGGGAGGACAAGACTGTAGAAGCCAAGTAAATTGCAGACAATTATACCAATAAGAGGCTGGGATCTGAGCCCAGCCATAGGTGACAAGTCCACTTTGTACCTTGCCAGGTAACTCTACTGCAGCATCAGCAAATATACACCGCAAATCAAAGCCTCAGCCCTGTTTGGTGAGGCAGGGGACAGCACTGCGGACGTGATACAGTCCTTGTCCTCAGGACTTTACAGGGTGCAAAGGAGCAATGTGGGAGAAGGTGGCTCTGAGGCTTGTCCGCCTGTATGCTTGACAGCACAAACATCTGCCCAGGAAGCAGAGAATGAGACGTGCACTGGTCCTTAGACACTTCTCTCTGCTGGGGTCAGAGTTGGCTCTGAAGAAAAGATGGGGACTGCCAGATAGCTCAGCAGAATAAAGCGTCTGTTTAGGCAGAGAGCAATGGTGTGCCTTGCCGGCCCCACCCCGGGGCGCACTGAGACATTAATTTAGACTGGGTGTGGTGATGCACGCCTGTAATCCCAGTGCTTGGGAGGCTGAAAACAGGAGAATCACTATGAGTCTGATCTGTACTAAATACATAATAAATAAGAAAAGATTTATCCCTGAAGCAGCAAGTGACATGGGGCCAGCACAGGCCCCTAGGAGAGTGGTTGTCACTACGGATGTGCTAGGGCCCTGGTCAGAGCATAGGCTTCACGGAAGAGGTGCCTCCTGAAGTTGGCCTTAAACCCAAGTGGGTGCGTCCAGGGCTGGAAAGGACACAGCGTTCCACGCAGAGGACGCAGTGTGAGTAAAACCCAGCAGGGTCTACGAGAGATGACCAAAATATTATGGTTTAAATTTAAAAAATTATTACTGTAAAAAACACACTGCCATTAATCCCCTAAAAACACTCTGCTCCCTTTGAACATACTTCTCCCATCATTCTTACCCTTCTCTGAAGCACTTCCTGAAACATGCCTCTTTGCATCTTCGTGACACGCAACTCAAAAACATGGTGGACGCTGCTTCTGAGAGGGTCCGATGGGAAAGCAGCCTCGTTATTCACCAAATCTGACACCACGAGACTTTTGCCTCTTCCCCAAGGTCAAAATGACCTTGAAAGGTCAACATTTTTAATCAATTTAGGGCATCAAGGCAGCCATGACGGTGCAACTAGCTGCACTCACAAGAGACGACTTTCAGAAAGTGTCAAGACCACGGAATGAGTGTGTTTGACGTGAGGAGGGGATTTTGAGAAGGATTAATGGCAGTGTGTTTTTGAGGGTGCTAAATATTTTTAAACACTGACTATAGTTTTGATTATACAGGTATTTGGGGAGCTTGGGCCTTAAGGTTCGGAGGGAGAAAGGGAGATACAGCCTATGCCCGGACTGGGCAGGAACGTGAGTCTGTCATGTGAGACCCAGCCCTGCCTTCTCCAAGCTTACATCTGGCTGGAGCATGAGGAGTTGATTATGGTGGGAGGAACCACATGGTAAAGTTGACAATGTGCTCAAAGGCGCCAGTAACCAGCAATGCCAGTTGAAACACAGAACTCCTCAGATTGGCAAAAATTAAAATTCAAGTGCAGGTGAGAATGGGGAAGTGAAGACTCTCACATATTCTGTGATGTGAGGAACAAAGAACAACCAGGGAGTATCAGCGAATCTAAGATACGTGTTATAACCAAGAATCTCAGGCCCTACCTAGCCCAGCGAGACTCACGCATGCGCAGAAGGAGCCCTGTGCTTGAAGCTATGCTGTGGAGTCCTCCATTATTGTGAATCAGTGCAAGTGTCTTTCAGCTGCAGGGTGGACGATTCTGGTAATCCGGGGCACTGGGAACAAGGGACCCCATCTACGGAAACTATCATGGAGCTGTCTCATATGTCATAGTGGATAGGGATGACAATCAGCAGATCACTAAATATATATAT